TGCAAAATTCAAAGAAGTGTGAATTTCAAAGAATGGTTGTGTTTTGGTTTGTGCATTATTTTGGAAACTGCAAATTAGGTAGAATTGCCTTTAAATGTGAACGTAATTTATCCTGCATCCCTGTTGGCATTGCTTCCAAACAACCTCTTTATTGAGCATTCATCCTCAATGATACAGAGCGATAGACGGTTTCAGAAGAGCTGTGCTTAAGGAAGCAGAGAGGCTTCAGCAAGCAGGGAGCTGGAACTCTGCCTTGCGGAGAGGTGCGCGAAGTCTGGGCGTGCTGGGCTCAGCGCGCCCAGCCTTCGTCATGCAGGCAACTCTCCGCAAGGTGCGGGAGCCCAGCGCAGGGCTCCCACTGTTTGCGGAGAGGTGCGCGAAGTCTGGGCGCGCTGGCCTCAGTGCGCCCAGCCTTCGGCATGCAGGCAACTCTCCGCAAGCAGCGGGAGCCCGGCGCGGGCTCCCACGGCTTGCGGAGATATGCGCGAAGCCTGACGAGCGAGAGGGGTCGGTGCGCACCGACGCCTCTCGCTCTCCAGGCTTCAGCGAAAGCCTGCATTCGCCCCATAGGACGCACACACATTTCCCCTTCATTTTTGGAGGGGAAAAAGTGCGTCCTATGGGGCGAAAAATACGGTCATACTGTGCAAAGCTTATTAAAAATATTGAAACTGTGATTGGTTATTCATTGCCTTTGAAATCTATAGTAATACTTCTGGGTAGTATGAAATATTCGAACAATGCATTTTAGTAGGGAATTTATGAATAGCTGCAAGAATGTTACTAGCTGCAAAATGACATATACCCACTATTCCTACAATAAAACATTGTATATTACAATGAAGTCTAAATTAACATAAATGATAGGATTGAGGGAAGGGAAACAGAACAAAGAACACTTTGAAAAATCTTGTTCCCCTTTTACAACATTTATGAAATAAAATATTCAACTGACACCCTCTCTGGATTCCACTCTGGCTGCCCCCCTCTCCCCAGGAAGGAAGAGGGGAAGTGGGAGACCTGCTTCCCCATCTGGAGCAGCCATATCCTGAGAAAGAGGGGTATCTGTTTCCTCCAGCCCCTGTTTCCCAGTCTAACTTCCCAATGTCATCATCCTGTTCCCCCACATCTGTCTCAGCCTGCCATGCCATCCCTGAGACTGTTGGCACCTTGGGACTCATGGCAATAAGGTACTTTGTTTATTTGATACATTTAATCAATTTAAAAGTAAGTAAGATATAACAAGGGATGGCAGGTGGCACTGTGGGTTAAACCACAGAGCCTAGGACTTGCTGATCAGAAGGTCGGTGGTTTGAATCCCCGTGACGGGGTGAGCTCCCGTTGCTCAGTCCCAGCTCCTGCCAACCTAGCAGTTCGAAAGCATGTCAAAGTGCAAGTTGATAAATAGGTACTGCTCCGGCGGTAAGGTAAATGGCGTTTCCGTGCGCTGCTCTGGTTCGCCAGAAGCAGCTTAGTCATGTTGGCCACATGACTCGGAAGCTGTACGCTGGCTCCCTCAGCCAATAAAGCGAGATGAGCGCTGCAACCCCAGAGTTGGCCACGACTGGACCTAATGGTCAGGGATCCCTTTACCTTTAAGATATAACATCTGAAGTTTTAAAATTTAAGTCTGCAGCAACATCTTACAATTATATATTTTCATGTGATCTTTAAAGTAATCACATATTTATTAATCTCTATTGTTTTGATATTTCATTTAAGCTCTGACTAGATCTAGACACATGAAAGAAGTGATTCAGTTAAACACGCTGTAAAGTTCATACAGGGAAATCCCATTGGTGAAGAACAGGACTACACAGCTCCATCTGGTGTCACAGCGTTATAACGCATATAAAGCGCTTTAACTTAAAGAATGTAGCTGAGTCTTAGGTCTCAGTTATGGGTCTTTCACACCAACACTATAGTAACCACGCTACTACAGAAAGAGGAGTAATTAAGGAATTGTTTATTTTTAAGGTATATGGTGGCAGCAGGAGTTTACTGGGAGGGTAAACTTAAAGATATATAAACTCCCTCCCCACCCAGCAGTTCATCCGCACTGTACAGTCAAGGCACAATTTTAATGAGGTTCATAGAATCTACTTTTAAGAGTGATGGCAGATATATGAATGGCTACTGGATTGTGGGTAAATGTTTTCCACAATTACTAAAGCACAGCATCTATTCCTGTATTTTTCACCGGCAGAGTTAGGAGGTGTGATTTAGATTAGGGAAATGACTCCCTTGCCCAGTACCAATGAGGTGATCAAAACTGTTCCAACCTGTGCCTATTTAAAGTAAATAAAATAAAATTGATTTCCTGCATCATGTCTGGTTTCAATACTCTAAAGGAGGAGGAATCGCTATTATAGTTTAAGTCTCAGGATGTACGCTCGTTAGGCCATTCACTTACATGCTCAGTGATACAAAAATAGCTTTAATTAGTAGAGGTATAATTGTTCAAGCCAATCCCCTCTGTTGGAACGGTTAAGTCTTATCATTACTAAGGAGGATGACCTGAATTTTTCAGGTTCATTTAAAATGTAATATGTTAACAATGCTACTCCTATTATGGACATTGGAAAGGTAATTAAACACTAAAATGGCTACTAACGCGATTAAGCAGAAAATGCAGTTAGGCTATTACTAAACCTATTAGAGCTGCTGCACACACAGCCATGCTCAGTAATAAATCACATCTGATTTTGGGAGGGAGAAGTCCTGTGTAAGCAGCTGGCTTCTCACAGAAAAGAAATATATATATAGTTATAGAGACCATCTCAGTAATGACTGCTGCAAAGGACCAAGTAAATGGATGAAAGTCCCAGTCCACCAAGGTTGTGGTGACCAATTATAAGCACACTGTTATACATAAAAGCACAGCATTAGAAATAAAGCGGTAAAAAGCAGCAGATAAAAAAACAACACAAAAGAAGCCAAAAAGAGAGAACACTCAGTGGGACACAGCCATTTTCATTGCCCATGAAGAAGGCCAAGCACACCTTTCTACGCAAACACTTCAAAAGTCTGAGCATCGGAATTGTGAGCACCGACTGTACCCCAGGTGATATGGAAGCCTCACAAGGACTGCTTGCTGCCTGCTGCCCAGGAGGACTCCCCTGAGTGAGTGCTTGAGGGCCCTGCTCTTGCCACTTACCATTTTTTGCAGATAAAATCGCTTAGATTCGGGAAGAAGTAGACTCCACCGTGGGAGCAGGGCCGGGGCGGGAGAGTGCTAGAGTTTTGTCTAGTCAAGTTGAGTGGGATCAATTCCAATCTGTTACCTCCGAGGATGTGGACAGGCTGCTTGGACGAGTGAAACCAACCACCTGTCTCCTGGATCCTTGCCCATCCTGGCTTATAAAAGCTAGCCGGGAAGGACTGGGCGATGGGCTTGGTGGGGTGGTGAATGCTTCCCTCCGTGAGGGAGCCTTCCCAGACCCGCTGAAAGAGGCGGTTATTAAACCGCTTCTTAAAAAACCATCTTTAGATGCGGCCACGATGGCCAACTATCGCCCAGTCTCAAATCTTCCATTCTTGGGCAAGGTGATTGAGCGAGCGGTTGGTGAACAACTCCAGGCACGCCTGGAAGAAGCGGACCATTTGGATCCCTTCTAGTCGGGATTCAGGCCTCATCATGGGACTGAAACTGCCTTGGTCGCACTGGTTGATGATCTCTGGTGGGCTAGGGACAAAGGTGAGAGCTGTTTCCTAGTTCTGCTGGATCTCTCAGCGGCGTCTGATACCATCGACCATAACATCCTTCTGGACCGTCTTGAGGGGCTGGGAGCTGGGGGCACTGTCATACAGTGGTTCCGCTCCTTCCTCCTGGGCCGTGTTCAGAAAGTGGTGGTGGGGGATGAGTGTTCAGACCCCTGGGCTCTCACTTGTGGGGTGCCTCAGGGTTCTGTCCTCTCCCCCATGCTTTTCAACATTTACATGCAGCCGCTGGGAGAGATCATCAGGAGGTTTGGGCTGGGTGTTCATCAGTATGCGGATGATACCCAGCTCTACCTCTTTTAAATCAGAACCAGTGAAGGCGGTGAAGGTCCTGTGTGAGTGTCTGGAGGCGGTTGGAGGATGGATGGCGGCTAACAGATTGAGGTTGAATCCTGACAAGACAGAAGTACTGTTTTTGGGGGACAGGAGGCGGGCAGGTGTGGAGGATTCCCTGGTCCTGAATGGGGTAACTGTGCCCCTGAAGGACCAGGTGCGCAGCCTGGGAGTCATTTTGGACTCACAGCTGTCCATGGAGGCAAAGGTCAAATCTGTGTCCAGGGCAGCTGTTTACCAGCTCCATCTGGTATGTAGGCCAGCTTGGACTACTGCAATGCACTCTACGTGGGGCTACCTTTGAAGGTGACTTGGAAACTACAACTAATCCAGAATGCGGCAGCTAGACTGGTGACTGGGGGCGGCCGCCGAGACCATATAACACTGGTCTTGAAAGACCTACATTGGCTCCCAGTACGTTTCCGAGCACAATTCAAAGTGTTGGTGCTGACCTTTAAAGCCCTAAATGGCCTCGGTCCAGTATATCTGAAGGAGCGTCTCCACCCCCATCGTTATGCCCGGACGCTGAGGTCCAGCACCGAGGGCCTTCTGGCGGTTCCCTCATTGCGAGAAGCAAAGCTACAGGGAACCAGGCAGAGGGCCTTCTTGGTAGTGGCGCCCGCCCTGTGGAACGCCCTTCCAGCAGATGTCAAAGTGATAAACAACTACCTGACATTCAGAAGACATCTTAAGGCAGCCCTGTTCAGGGAAGTTTTTAACGTGTGATATTTTACTGTATTTTTGGTTTCTATGGAAGCCGCCCAGAGTGGCTGGGGAGGCCCAGCCAGATAGGCGGGGTATAAATAATAAATTATTATTATTATTATTATTATTATTATTATTATTATTATTGAAGAGGGCCTCTGGAACAGAGCTGAGTTATTGGGCAAGTCCATAGATCATAGAATTGCAGAGTTGGAAGCAACCTTGAGGATCATCTAGTCCAGCTTCCATATGGAGCCATCAGGGATTGAACCTGCAACCTCGGTGTTCTTAGCACTACACTCTAACCAACTGAACCACATGGGACAAGGTGATTCCAAAGGTACTCTGGCCCCAGGCTGTTCAGGGCCTTATAATTCTAAGCAGGCATCTTGAAGTGAGCCCAGAATATTTTTTTCGCAGTGGAGTTGGTAAAATACTGGAGTATTGTGTCCCATTCTCCCACTTCCCTGCCGGAACATTATGGACCTATTAAAGTTTCCAGACTGTCTTCAAGAGCAAACCCACAAAGCTGGACATCTCTAGTAAGAAAAATAGTATATTAATTTTGATGTTGCAAAGTAATGGGAAGGAATTCAACATCATACAAAGGCATTTGTTCCATCAAAGCAAGCATTTTGGCTTGCCAGATGGAAGAGTCTCCCTGCTGTGTGTTCCAGGGGGTCTTCCCTGCACAGCCAATTGTGGGGGGCATGGGGAAAGAAAGGGGGGAAAGCCCAGTTGCACAAGCAGAAGTCCTTGCACAGCGCTTCAGCTGATGGGACTCATAGGTTGAATCCCACCCATGGTGCGCTTTTTAAAAATGGCAATGAGAATGACAGAGGATACATTTCTTGTCAAAAGCAGCAGCTACTATAGTTTAAAAACATAATTTCAGAGATTCAAAACAATGTGCTTATTTAGTTTTTAAAACTGCATTTTTTTAAAAACAACCCAATGATCTTTTTGTTACATTTCCCCTGTTGAAACTACACACACACACAATTTCCACTATAATTTTGTGTCTTAATTAAGCTATATTTCTTACTGAAATGCCCCAATCAAAACTTAAATCCATAATCAACCTTTATTTTATGTGTGAAGACCTAATGTACAATTTTCAAACTGCTTCTTATAAAATTATCCTTACATCTTCAGAAAGGTAACTCTTGAGCAAATGTCTTGAGATTCTATTGCAGGTAACAGGAGACCTGCACTCTTTGCCCACTGAACCTAACAGGTGCAATTTGTTTTTGAGTATAGTGGAAATGACCCCAAATCATTTTCAGCACCTAGTGGCATTACAAACCACAGCATCTCCCTTAGCTTTTCATATACCATATGTGCTGGGAACTTGTTGCAGCAAACCTCACTCTTTGAGAACATGTGCAGCTGGATTTATATAATACATAATTTGGGCTCCATATTCCAACCCCAACATGTGCAAGCCTCAGGAATATGAGTTTCCCAGACTCCTATGCTTAAATTAAAACTATGTTCACATTTGCACCTTGAAACGCAGTGAGGTCATTCCCCCCCACTGCATTTCCAAGCCACAGAAAAGCCACAATCATATCACACCACAATGGAACCGTGGCTTCCATTTCTGAATCAGATGGAAGCTGGTTTGAGGAAAAGCACCTCTAAGAGGAGTATTTCTCTAAAAGCTACAAGTACACAGATGGATTGTTGCTAATGTCATGTGAAGTAAAAGGTAAAGGGACCCCTGACCATTAGGTCCAGTAGTGGCCGACTCTGGGGTTGCGGTGCTCATCTCGCTTTATTGGCCAAGGGAGCCGGCGTTCAGCATCCGGGTCATGTGGCCAGCATGACTAAGCCGCTTCTGGCGAACCAGAGCAGCACACAGAAACGCCGTTTACCTTTCCGCCGGAGTGGTACCTATTTATCTACTTGCACTTTGACGTGCTTTTGAACTGCTAGGATGGCAGGAGCAGGGACCGAGCAATGGGAGCTCACCCCGTCGCGGGGATTCGAACCGCTGACCTGATCGGCAAGTCCTAGGCTCTGTGGCTTAACCCACAGCACCACCCGTGTCCCAATGTCATGTGAACCTGGCTTTAAAAAAGCCTGTGGTGGGAGCACGCTGGCACTGTAGTAAACAGCAATGTGCATGCTAGCACCAGAGGCCTCAGGTGGGAAGGGCCATAGCTTAGTCATAGTTGTAAAACATCATTTCAACCTATAAGATCTCAGGCTCAGTGTTTGGTATTTCCAGTTAAAGGATTTCCGACAGAAGGGTGGTGTGAAAAGTCTTCTTCTTGGCACTTCTGGCATTGCTAGTCAAGGTAGATAGTGCTAGGGCTAGATGCTCCAAATAGTATGAGCTGGCATAAGGCAGATACAAGTGTGCTCATTCGGATAGTATTCTGCACTTGTGGTATGGCGGAAGTAATCCTATCTCCTGAAAGAGCCACATAGCTGCTGCTTGTATTGTATGACTGCTGTAAATTAGGGCCTTGATATTTGGCAGCATCCATAGCCTGAATCTTTCCAAATAATTGAAACAGTTAAGGAGTCAAGGCCAGCCCACATTTGACAGTGCTGTGTCTCTTGGTCACTCCCCAGTATAATCAAGAGATGGGGTGAAAGAGATGTTTGTGCAAAGTTATTAAAACATTTTGAATTAGGAGAAAATACTATTTGGTAGGTTCTGTAAACAGAATGAATCTCATAAATTACAGAGTTATGCAAAAGCAGTTTCACAGTAAGTAGCATTATAGGTTCTAAAATTAAATGCAAATACAACATATTTTGGGCTGGGGAGAGAATGCAAAGTTAGAGGAGTTATTCTCCTTTTTTAAAAAAATAAATGGGGCAGAACATGTTTAGAGCCTGCTTTAATGATCTCCTGATTTTTCTAAGACAGCTAAGTCTTGGCCTCTGTGGTGTGCCAGCTAATTTCATTACTGGAAATGGTAATTACTACATGCTGTTAGTATGAGTGCAGGAAGATTAAATGTCTTTTCTTCAGTTATCTATAAATATAAGGTGTTTATTTCCCCCTATAAATAATTATCATTACTCCTTCTCCGCTAGTCCAATAATGCCTATTGTTGCAATATCTAAATCTGCTTTGAGAGCCCATTTGGCTAAAGGTATGAATGCCTTATTTTAGGAATAAATGTCTTAAATAAATGAAAATAAATAGTTTATTTGAAACTGAAATCTGACACACAAGGCAGACTCGATAAACACTATTTGTTTTGTGTTTTGTTTGTTTATAATTCCGCTGGCTTTGTTCCCACTCTCTACTTACAACACTGAATAGTGTTTTACTCTACAGACATATCATTTATTATCTGATGTACTTAGAAATTCCTCCTATATGTTCTTTCCCCTACAGTCCTTTAGACCCACTGAAGATTATCAGTTAAATCCTCAGTTGTAAGATGATCTTATCTTGCACATCCTGACAGAGGACTACAAAGACTGATTCTATCAGCCCCCTCTCTTTAAAAATACCAGACCGTGAAGAGCTTAGATGGTTTCCCCACCCCCACCCCAATATAAGGTAAAAGAATTTTTTTGAAGGTTGCATTGGAATCAGCAGCAGAAAAAACAATTTGAATTTAAGTTGTATAGAGCATAATTTGTATGCAGTAAAATTCATGCCCAAATCAACTTACCAACAGAAAAGGGCTAATAATTCTATATGCAACCTATATCCATTCATGAATAGTTTGTCACTGATTTCAATATATTTGGCAACTTATAATTCATTCTATTACATAACCGTAATATTCCGTACTTGTTTGCTTCCTTCTTAAATCTGACGACTAACTGTGACTAAAGGGCTGGTGATTATTACTGGAATATGAACTGAATTAAGGACAGCATACAAATGTTTTAAATAAAATACACATGTACCAACTGACACAGAAGGTATATCCAATCCCTCCTTCCTGTGCAACTGACAGAACGCTGCCTAAGGACTCAGCTACACAGCTAAAAATAAAACATTTTAAATGTGTTGTAAAGTGCAATATACAGTGGCACCTCTGGTTATGAACTTAATTCGTTCCGGAGGTCTGTTCTTAAGCCGAAACCATTCTTATCCCGAGGCGCACTTTCACTAATGGGGCCTCCTGTTCGCATCCTGGGGCAAAGTTCACAACCAGGAGCAGCTACTTCCAGGTTAGTGCAGCTTGTAACCAGAAGCGTTCGTAACCAGAGGTACCACTGTACAAATATGACACTAGATGGCTATGCAAAATTCAATGTATTTTTCAAAATGCTTTTTTTCCACAGCGTTTTTTTATATGTGTGTAGATTCCACCTAACTACATCAGGGATGGAAAAACATTGGCCCTCCAGATATTGTTGTACTACTAGTATTTATTTATTAAATTTGTATACCACCCTATACCCACAGATCTCAGGGCGGACTACAACTCCCATTATCCCAACTATTGCCTATTGCTGGCTGGGACTGATGGGGACTGGAGTAAACAACATGTGGAGAGAGTCACAGGTTCAAACTAGGCATGGTGCGAGGGATCTATGATAAGGATATCTTGTTATATTTCATTTCATTTTAATAAGTACTGCTTTGAAGACTTAGGAAATAGTGTCAGGGGAGGTGTTTGCACCTCTACGATGGGGGTGGGAGTAAACGCAGGTATACTATCTGCAAGTTTTCCACATGAAGATAAAAGCAGCACAGGGATGATTTACGCTGGGGAAGCAGCACAGGGGAAATGGTAAGGGTTAAATTGCCCCAGAGGGTCTTCTAATTATCTATAGAAAGGAAAATGCATGAGATTTTCACTAGCAGTTGGTGCCTATGCTGGCACCGTTTCTCCACCAGAAGTGGAGGTGGAGGGGCACCCATTGGGGTGGCACCTCAGGGGCTTCTGCCTGAGGCAACTGCTTTACTTTGCTTCACGGGTGGGCCAGTGCTGACAGTAGCCATGACCAAAGAAGCAGAAATGAAACCTATAAAATCAAGAAACCATATGCAAGCAAATGTAAACATGAGCTTGTAAGTGCAACTGAGCTAACACAATATGTAATTAATAATCCTGAAAACTGAGTATTAGCAGTGGGATACTGAGAAATTGAAAATAGCCCTTCCGTGAAGGGAGAGAATAGCTCTTCTATTAAGTTTTCTTCCCCCCCCCCCAGCATCTTTCTGAGCCCCTACAAAATCTTTTTCATTTCATTGTCTAAATGAAGGCCATGCCTTTTACGATTAGTAGTTTAATACAGGAAGAGATGTTAATCTTCGGCTGATTCTATTAATGTAATTTATGTAGCGGTTTTCTAATAATGTGATGTTAAGCAGAGCACACCAAACGTATTTATGT